ACCCTCAGCCCCAATAATGCACGCGTTCCTTGCACCATGGGGTGCATTTTTCCTGACCCTAGACTCCATCCCAGCCCTGCCTGCCTCTTGCTCCCTTAATAGTTGGGGGGCTAAATTCCTGGCTTCCTCTAGGCCCCGTCCCGCCCCCTTGCCCCCCCCCCCCGCCTGCTTTGGGTAGCACCCCTCGTGCCCTCTCGTTTCTCACCCGGGCTGGTATTCGCCCTGCAAAAAACTCCAGAATCCTGGGACAGACAGCAAGGCCGCGAGGCCACCCTGCCTTCGTCCCCACCCCACCCTTGATTTGCGCCCTGCCCGTGGTTTCTAGCCCCAGACAAGCTGGAGACCTCGGCACCCCATTCCCTTTGCAAGTGCTCACCCCAAGCATAGTTTCCAAGCGCCTGCCCCCTGCCCAGTTTTCTTTAGGGCAAAATGGAGGTCGTGGGGGCCGAAGGGCCAGGCCCGCTGCGCTTCGCAGCGCGCGGCACCAGCCTGCGCCTTCCAGCTGCCAGATCTGGGGACCCTCCCTGTCCCCTCCCTTTCGCCCCGCCACACCTGCGTAGGCGGTGGCAACCCCTTTTCTGTTTGGGGCCCTGGCTGCTGTATCCCCAGAAGCCGAGGGGTGCTGAGGGGGGTCTTGAAGGTGATGGGGATAGAGGGCTGGAGCGCGGCTCCCGCCTCCAAGGGCTTCCTCCTGGCTGCTTCCTCTCCCCGGATCCGGGGCTGCTGGTCGTTGGGAGGAAGAGACTGTCCGTACCTGAGGTGGGCTAGGGACCGTGTCCCCCTATTGGAGGGGCATCCCCCGCTGTTGGCGTAGAAAGCTGAACTTACAGAGGGGAAATATCAGTGGGGAAGAGGAACGCCCAGCGCTGGGGGAAGTGGGAGCTGGGTGGCAGACGCCGGGGTCGGCCGAGTGCAGTGTTCGAGGCCAGATCGTACAGGTGTCCCCGGGGCGGGGGAGGGGGGACAGGACGCCGGGAGCTGGAGCGGAGCCAGCCAGGCCCTGGGGGACCCGGCGCCGCGCCCGCGGACTGGGCTCCTGGGAAGCCGAGGGCGCTGGAGCCAGGCCGCCTGGGGCCGCCCGCCGGCGCCTGGGAGAGAGCAGCTCCGCGCCCCGGGGCCGGGGGCCTCTCTTCGGAGCCCTAATTACTCCAGCGCGGCTCCCGTGGGCTTTGCTGGGGCTGTAGCCGGGCGGGAGGCCGGGGCGCTGGAGGGGAGCAGCGGCTCGGGACTGATTTTCCTGAAGCTGTCGCCCCCACCCTCGGCGGACGGCTAATGGGGTGCAGCCGGCCCTGGGATTATCCGGGGTGAGCCTTCCCAAACCTATTAGTGCCCAATCGGCTTTTCCCAAATCCTGTAAACAGCCACCCAGGCCGGTTCTGGGGAGAGGCGGGGAGGCTGGGTCGGGCGGGGGCGATGGGGCCGGGGGTGGGGTCACCCACCCTACAGGTCTGTGCCGTGGATGCGGTTGCCTTGGTAACGGGGCTAGGGTGGGGGCACTTCACCAATGAGGTGCTCTCAGTCCGGGTGACGGTTGCCTAGGCAACCCCACGAACAGCCTAGCTTCCCCCCTTCTAGTCCCCCCCACACCGTGGAAGCTGGGGGTGTGTGTGGAGGGTGTGCGGTGTGAGGGGGTGAATTTAAAGAGGCACCGCCCCTTTTAAAATTAGGTGCTGGGAGGGCGGCGCCTGTGCAGGCTGGGGCGGACGCCAGGTCTGTTTGCGAAGGGACTCCCCCCCCCCCAGTTCCTGCTTCGGGTGTCCCGCCCGATCTGCTGCTGTCCGAGGGAGGGGTTTCCCCTGCGTTTCCTCTTGCATTTCCCGCTGTTTCCGGGGGGGCGGGAGGAAAATTGGGGAAATCGAGTGTTCCTCGGCCACGTCTCTCCGGTGCCAGGGTACCAGAAACCCTTGTTCAGCCCGGGGAGCTGTGGCCCCCACCCCCTCCCGAGCTCACCCCTTCCGGGCCGCGTCCATCCACCCCTCCTTTCCCCCTGCTTCCCCGGCGGCAGCGGCCTTGGGCCCTGACGTCAGCCCTGCATCCCCCAGGCCTCGGGCCAGCGGCCAGGAGCTGCCTCCCCCAGCCCCCGTCCCGCGGCCCCCAGCCGCCCCCAACCCCGCCCCACGGGCCCGGCGCCATGAGTGAGCTGGAGCAACTGAGACAGGAGGCCGAGCAGCTCCGGAACCAGATCCGGGTGAGGGCCCGGCCACCTCTGGAATAGGGAGGCTGAGCTGGCAGGGCCTGGTAGCTTGTGGGGGTTGCTACCTGCTTTGCTGCCTGAAGGGGGTGCCTGGGTGACGGGGAGGTACCCTAATCTCTGCATGTCTCCTCTTCCCCTGTGCCTGGCCTCCTATTTTCTTTCACTCCCCTCTCCTCCCCCAACCATCTTTTCTCCTGCTTTTCTCTGGCTTTGCCTTCTCTTGCAGGATGCCCGAAAAGCATGTGGGGATTCAACGCTGACCCAGGTGAGGCGACTACAGGGCTGGCCTGGGGACTCGGGAGGCAAGGGTTGGACACGTGCTGCTGGACTGGGGTCCTGTTGCCTGGGTCTTCCTGAGCCCTGTGTCTCCACCTCCAGATCACAGCTGGGCTGGACCCAGTGGGGAGAATCCAGATGAGGACACGGAGGACTCTCCGGGGGCATCTTGCAAAAATCTATGCCATGCACTGGGGGACAGACTCAAGGTGTGTGGGTGGCCAGGGTGGGGCTCTGCGTTCAGTTTTGGTGCTCACGGGGTCGGGCATGATCTTATATTGGCCAGGACAGCAGTGGAGGGAGGGCAGCCTCTGAGGGCTGGTAGGGTTTGAGCATCCCTGGGGGACCAGGGAAAGCAGGGCCACACTGACACGACGACGACACCTGCACTACTGCTGGGGATGTCTCGGAAGAGCCTCCAGATGGGAGAGGGCGGTCTCCCTCCACACCCTGACCCTCTGCCTCTCCCGTACCTGTCCCCCAGGCTGCTGGTCAGCGCCTCCCAGGACGGGAAGCTCATCATCTGGGACAGCTACACCACCAACAAGGTAGAAGCACTACCCAAGGGGGATTGGGGTGGGGCTGGGCTGCAGAGCCCTGTTTGGCCTTGACCCTGGTCACTGCCTTTCCTCCCTAGGTCCATGCCATCCCACTGCGCTCCTCCTGGGTCATGACCTGTGCCTACGCGCCCTCAGGGAACTTTGTGGCCTGCGGGGGTTTGGACAACATCTGCTCCATCTACAGCCTCAAGACCCGAGAGGGCAATGTCAGGGTTAGCCGGGAGCTGCCTGGCCACACTGGTGAGAGGGGCCCAGCGGGCAAGGGCTCTGTTGTGGGAGAGGGGCTGTGCTGCCTTCCCCATTGAGACCTGGCTGACCAGCCCCTTTCCCCAGGGTACTTGTCGTGCTGCCGCTTCCTGGATGACAACCAAATCATCACCAGCTCTGGGGATACCACCTGGTGAGGACCCGAGGGAGTGGGCAGTGTGGACTCACCTGCACTTCCTGCCTCCCTGTCCCGTTGCTCAGCAGGATGCACCCTGAGCCCCTTGCCTTCTTCCCCAACCTGAGGCTCCCTAGGCCCTTCCCACAGACCAAGGAATCTGTCCTTCACCGTATCTCTGATCCCTTCCTTCTTGTCCCCTTTCTAGTGCCCTGTGGGACATTGAGACAGGCCAGCAGACTGTGGGTTTTGCTGGACACAGTGGGGATGTGATGTCCCTGTCACTGGCCCCCGATGGCCGCACCTTTGTATCAGGTGCCTGTGATGCCTCCATCAAGCTGTGGGACGTGCGGGATTCCATGTGCCGACAGACCTTCATAGGTCATGAGTCCGACATCAACGCCGTGGCTGTAAGTTGGGGGCAAGCCCGGTAACCGCCCCCCTTAGGTCCTGGTGCTGCCCTGCCCTTTTCTCTCTCACGCACACACAAACACAGCCCATGTCTTTGTCCCACAGTTCTTCCCCAACGGCTACGCCTTCACCACGGGCTCTGATGATGCCACATGCCGCCTGTTCGACCTGCGTGCCGATCAGGAGCTCCTCATGTACTCTCACGACAACATCATTTGCGGCATCACCTCGGTGGCCTTCTCGCGCAGTGGCCGGCTGCTGCTCGCAGGCTACGATGACTTCAACTGCAACATCTGGGATGCCATGAAGGGCGACCGTGCAGGTGAGGCCTGGATCCTGGGGCAAAGGGCAGGGGCTGGAGCCCAGGCCAGTTCTGTCACACCCCTTTTCCTCAGGTGTCCTTGCTGGCCATGACAACCGTGTAAGCTGCCTTGGGGTCACTGATGATGGCATGGCGGTGGCCACAGGCTCCTGGGACTCCTTCCTCAAGATCTGGAACTAAACTGCCCCAATCCCAGCTGGGCCCAGGCCAGGAGGGGCCCTGCCCATGCCCACACTACAGGCCGGGAGCTTTGGGGCTGGGTATACACCAAGCCTCCCTCCCTGGGCCACAGGGCCTCGGGTCCCTGCTCCCCCACCCAGGTTTGGTTCCTCCCGGGGGCCCCCACTGTGGAGATTAAGATGGGGATGGTATGGGGGAAGAGGAAGGGGCAGAAAGCCCTTATCCTATTGCTGCCCTGGAGTCAGGGCCTCACCTCTCTGGGCGGCCAGAGGCAGGAGGTGGAAACTCCAGGAGCTGGCTTTTTTAAAACTGGTTTTATTTTAATTTTTATTATATTTTCAGTTTTTCCATAAAGGAACCAATTCCAACTCTGTACCTCGTCTCCTCCCTTGCTTGTGTCTTCCTCCCTTTTCTGTTGAGGCCAGACAATGGATAAAGGGCCCTACCATAGGAAGACAATATAGGGCAAAAGTCTTCCTCCAGCCAGAGCTGAAGCCAGAGGCAGGAGACCCTCGGGCCCAAGCAGGGTCAGAGATGTTCCCTAGCGCCCCACTGTGGTCTCCCCTGGCTAGGCTGTGCTGTGGAACCTCACCTTAGCCCCTCTAATTCCCAGCCCTGAGCCTTAGCCACTCATCCCTCAAGACCCTCCCCCAAATAAAGCCAGCAGGAGCAGTGGACAGGGAGAACACACACCAAGTTTTATTAGGAGTATTTACACAGGGCAGGTGGAAGGGAAGTCACACAGGGAGGTGGGGCAAGAGATTGTGGGTACAAGGCAGACGTGGGAACACAGAATGACCCTTTGACTACCCCAATCCCAGGAGGAGGGCAGCAGGGCCCAGGAAGACTGGGACAGGACAGCAATGGGACCCTAGTCCCTGGGCGGGGCTCAGGGCTTGTAAACATTGACCACTCTCAGAGGGGATGGGGTGGGAGAGGGCTCCCCCTACACTTCCTTACAGGGTTAAGGCCTCTCCAGGCTCGTGGGCCCCCCAACTGAAAGTCTCTTTAGCTCTGGGGGAAAGGGGCAGGAAGAGACAGGAAGTGTCCCCCCTTCCCCTGCATTGGCTGTGGCAGGGGCAGGGCAGTTACATTCAGTCACAACAGGAGTCTCCCCTACCCCTCTAATGCCACCACACTGGCAAGAGGGAAGGGGGAGCTGGGGGCCAGCAGCAGCAAGACATTTCCCCCTGGCCCATCACCCCCTTATTGCTTTAGAGAGAATATTGTCTTTTCATGGACACTAACACTGTCAAAACCAGGGAGAAGTAGGTGGAGGGGCCCTGCAACCCCGAGGCCAGCTTTATCCCCAACACTGACCCAGTTGCCACTTTGGTGCAAAAAAAAAAAAAAAAAAAATCCTCTCTGGAGATAGATGGGGAAAGAAACTGGGGCAGCTCCCCACTTCCCCAGGGCAGTAAGGAGCAATACATTCATGGAGGGAGGCAGCGGCAGTCTCGCCCTAATACTGCACTCAGCAATGAGGTCGATGGGAAAAGTTTGATGAGAACGCAAAAGATTAGACAAACTACAAAAAAAGAAAAAAAAAATGATGGAGACAAGCCCAGGCAGGGGTTAGAAGTCGGTGAGCAACAGGAGACGCACACCTCCACTCTCGACCCCAGCCTTACCCAGCATTTAAGACATCAAGGGGAGGCCTCTTGCTCCTCTCCCATTTGGTCAACGAGGGGTCAGGCGCAGAGCTGGGAGGTCCACACCCCACATGCACGGCCACGGCTGGCTGCAGGGCAGGGCTCTCTTCTGACAGTCCCCTGCACCGCAGCCTCAGCCCTGAGCCGCCCACTCCTGGCCCTTCGAGGCTCTCCTGCCCCTCTCGACAGGAAGGACTTGGCCATGAAGTGGTGCCGTCCCAGCTCCTGGAGGAATCGCTGTGCCCCTCCTCGGGGGGCAAGGCGGGGGCTTGGGAACCAAGGAATACATTCATGTGGCAAGGCAGGGAGCTGAGGCTTTCGGCTCACACCAGGCCGTCTCCCAAATGGCAGCGGTGGGGGAAGCCCCTCAGCAGGCCTGAGTCCGAGTCCCGCCCTGACAGAAGGCAGTCACCAACTGGCCTTTCCCCATCTCCCCATCAGCTAGCGCATGAAATGGCAGCTGGGGGCTGAGGTGACTTGTCCGATTTGTGCAACTTTCCCCCAAAGCAGCAAAGCCAAGGGGTGACTTTGGCCCCCACCCTGGACACAGTCACAGGGAGCTGTTCACAGCGGGTCCGGTGGGCAGGGCACTGAGGGGGTCTCGCTGTGCAAACTGCTGGCACCCCAGCTTTGTTACCCCGAAGCCCACCTTCCAAGGGCAGCAGGGTAAGTGCAGCCTAGGGGCCAGGCAGAACAGGTCCATGGGGCCTGTGTCCCCACTGCCCCAAAATAACAGTGTGTTTTTTCCTTTCAGCCTAACTTTTTTTTTCCATTATTTTTCATCATTTTTCTTAAAAAAAAAACCCCAAAAAACAAAAAACTTCCGTGGACCTTCTGTTATCACACCATCCCGAGGGACAAAGTGTGTCTAGAATCTAGGTTTTTTAACAAATCCTTTTGTCTCCTAAAGTTTTCTTCAGTCATTTAAAATTAAAACAAAACAAAACAAAACAAAAAACAAACCCTTCCCCCCAATCTGTAAAGTGCCTCGTGGTGGGTGAGTTAAGGTGCATCGTGTGGTTTGTAACAAGTGCTGGGGACCCTGCCCCTGCTTCCTCCTTTGCTCCTTCCTGGGAGCCTGCAGGCTAGAGACCCAAGGGTCCAAGCTGCGGCTGCCACTCCTGGCCTCCAGCCCAGGGGGCTAAGTGGGATGGGCTGGTCAGTAGTCATCCACGCTCTCGATCTCACCAGAAGGTCCGTGCAAGGAGTACCCTGAGGCAGGGAAGAAACAGGCGTGAGCTTCCTCAGGACCCTTGGACCCGTGAGAAGGGAGCCAGGCTCAAGCTCCTTTTGCGGCCCCTGGCCCCCATGCTCACCCAAGATGCTGGGGTCGGAGTGCAGCATCAGTGCCCGCCTCTTGGCCTTGGTGCCCTCTCCAGGGCCAAGTTTGGTGCTGTGGTTGGCCTGAAAGGCTGTCTGCAGGGAGGCACTGCTCAGCCACACCTCCTAAGGCAGCAGAGTGGAGAATGAGTCAGGAAGGTGCCAGGCACCCCTCCCCAGGGACCCTGAGAACTCACCTGTTGCTGATGCTGCCGCTGCTGGCTGGCTTTCTGCTTAGCCCTCCGCTCCAGGAACTGTTTGGCAAATTCTTTGGCTTCCAGCGTGTCCCCCAGGCAGGAACGGATATAATCATGGACATCATAGGGGGACTCCACCTCCTTGAGGATTGCGACAGCCATGGGCACTGCGGGGAGAGTGGGGCTGTGAGGCACACCTGGGCAGACCAGAAGCCCCGCCCACCAGCATGGCTGGCTGGGTGTGCACCATGCCCTACCGTCCAGGCTGCCCGTGGTGCTCAGGGTGTGTAGCATCTGCTCACACCACTGGGTGAAGCCGTCCTGGGGCCTGGGGATGCCCTGCAGCAGCTTCAATAGCTTCTCTTCTTCCTCTGTCTTTTTGCGAACAGGGCGACCTGACAGATGGCTGTAGGAGTCACTGGTGGGTGGGTGGGGGAGCATGTAGGAAATTGGAGGCCAGAGGTCAGCCTGGGGTTCAGCACCCCCTTATCCCATCCCTTGGACCTCCAGGTCCCACACCCACCTGAGGGACGGGCTGCTCCGACTGTTCTTCAGGCCGAGGCCACGGGCCAGGCTTCCACTGCTCTTGAGGGGATCCTCCCAGAGCCCCAGGCTGCCACCGCCACTGCCCCCACTCTTGTCAGGCCCGCCCCACAGTGGCCCGGCCTCAGAAACCCATTGGTTCAGGGGGGCAGCGCCCAGGCCCCCAAGCTGCTGAGATGGCAAGAAGTCAGGGGCTCCAATCAGGAAGCCAAGAAAGCTAGGCAGGCCAACTTGTTTAGGTGCCACAGGGAGGGAGGAGTCGAGAACCACATAGAAGAGCTCTCAAACCACACCACGAAGGAGGTATAGAGGAAGGAGCCTGGGCCCAGTGGCCACCTCGCACCCGGCCGGCCCACCCTGTATCCCTGCCCATCAGTGGGGGCCCGGCCTGCTCACCGAGCGGTGGTTGGGGGCCTGGGCCCTTGGCGGCTCCCGGGGCACAGGCGGCTTGTGCAGCTGCCGCTCACCCTCCAGCTGCAGCTCCAGCAGCGTCTTCATGGACAGGCCCTGCTTAGCCAGGCCAGCCCAGAGTGGGGGTGGTGAGCTGGGTGCAGGCGGCACAGGGACTGCGGCTGATGCCTGTTGCTGCTGCTGCTGCTGCAACAGCTTCAGGAGCAGCTCTTGCTGCCGCACCTGTCAAGAGGAGGGGACACTTGGTGAGTGGGGTCAGCAGCAGCCCCAGCCCTGGGCAGCCACTGCGGTAGGGGCACTGACCTGCTTGCGCCGAAAGAGCTCCTCCTCCTCCTGGCGACGCTTGTGCTCTTCTTGCTGCTGCTGCCGGCGCTTTTCCTCTCGGCGCTTGCGCTCCTCCTCCTCCCGCTTCGCCCTGAGCTCCACTTCTCTGCGCTCCTGGAACTGAGCAGGGGTGGATCAGAGAGGGGGCATGCAGCCGACCTCAGCCAGCCTTCCTTCCAGCCCAGGCCACTACTCACTTTATGCTGCAGCTGGAGCTGTTCTAGGATTGGACCCTGAGTCGAAGAGTTAATTGGTATGTCCCAAAGACTGGCCTCACCACCTGCAGAAGGCACAGGGAGCTGTAGGAGGGCACTCAGGCCCGGCTCCAGACCCAGAGAGCGGCAGCATGAGGATAACAGGCAGACCCGGCCCCATCTCACCCAGAGCCGGCCTGCTGGCCACTCACCAGACTGTGATGAGGCTGAGGTATGTACATCCCAGAGGGGGCTTGAATCCGGCACCGACATGGACCGGCTAATTGTCGGAAGCAGGTTCTGGTCCCCACCTCTGAGGAGTAAACCACTGACTCTCAAGGTCCTGTGCCCACTTCTGTTTGGCCTCCCTTCCCCTGGCTCCATCCTGAGAACCCAGATACCCATGGCCACACAGACCTGGAAGGTTTGAGAGCCTGGAGCTGCTGCAGAAATGTAGTAAGCTGTTGCTGCTGCGGCGGTGCCAGGTCCCCCATAGCTGCCTTTTCCCGGAGCGAACACGGCGGGAGCTGGCGGCTGTGGAGACAGATGGCACAGCAGTGGGCCACAGAGTACCACTGCCTGGCCTGAGGGCCAAGCCTGGCAGCCCCCGTACCTGCCAACCAGCTGAAGGAACTGCTGGTGCTGCAGCTGCTGGTACAAGGCCGCCGCGGCCAGCTCCTGCTGCTTCTTTAGCCGCTCCTGGTCCATGTTTCCCTGCGTGGGACAAGAGCTGCCCAGTGTGCACGGCAGGGAGGATGGCCCCTGGGGTCCTGCCTGCTTCTGCTAGTCTGCCATCTCCCACCAGCCTTCCCTGCAATGGGCAGCAGAGAAACATCGTGCTCACCAGCAGTGGGGGTGGCGAGGGACCCGGGGCAAAGGGCACACGGCCCCACATCTTGATCACTTCTCCCAGAGGCTGGAAGCCCTCATCACAGCCCCGCTTCACCAGCAGGGACATGGAGAAGTAGCCGGCCTGGAACCATTCTGCCATTTCCTGGGTTGTGAAGGGGCCTGGGGAAAGCACAGGAGGGAGGCAGGGGACAATGGCACTAGGGTCAGAGGGCTCACTGATAACACCTTGAGCAAGAAGCATTTAGCACAGCCCTCCTGCTCCCACAGCTACCTTGGATCTCCCCCTGCGGGTCCTTATAGAACCACTTGCGGGCAGCGCCATGGCTGAGGGGAAGGGCAGTGGCAGCTGTGGAGTGGCGCAGGCCCTGGGTCTGCATGGCGGCCGTGAACTGCTCCTCCTCCAGGGAGCTGTCCTGCAGGGAGGCCACCAGCTTCTCTGCCTCCTGGGAGCCCAGAAGAGAGGCAAGGCTGAGCCATTCAACCACAGCAACATCAGCATGGGAGCATGGGGCTGGCGTGGGTGAAAGGGGCCGTGAACCAGGCAGGAGAGAATCTGGAGAACGGTAAAGTCCAGGATGGGAACAGATAAGCAATGACATCCTGCTTGCTTCAGCATCCCTGTACCTGCTGCAGATGCTTCAAACCTTCTTCATCTTCCAGATCTCCAGGGGGCGCAGGGGGTGAGCCAACACCAGGGCTCAGCTGGATTCTCCGCATGTCATCTCCTAGAAGAAGCAAAGAAGGAAGTAGGGGAATGCAGAGAAGGGGACAAGACAGTCCCCGACCCACCCTCCAAACAAATGGATTCTTGCTACAGCCCCCAATACCAGCGCCCTGTGCACTTCTTTTCCACCAGTCCCGCCCCATAGGCACCCTCACCATACCTACCTTCAGCTGCAGGAAGTTCCTTCTCCACAGCTTCGTCACTCTCCCCATTCGTGCCCCAGAGTGGGCCCAAGGTGGGCAGTGGGGACGGAGAGCTGGACTTCTCTGGAGGAGGCAGTGGGGGCAGCTCCTTCCCACCTGGAGGAGAAGGATAATCCGAAAGCCGGGCGTGGTGGCACATGCTGGTAATCCCAGCACTCTGAGAGGCTGAGGCAGGAGGACTACAAGCTCAAGGCCAGCCTGGGTAACTAAATGACTTAGCTAGACCTTGTCTCAAAATAAAAAGCAAAAAAAGGACCAGGGATGTAGATCAGTGGGAAGTCCCCTGGGTTGAATCTTTGGTACCACAAAAAACAGAATGATCACCAGAACTCAAAACCAAAGCACAGAGGGCTCTGCATGCAAGGTGGTGCAAACCACCATCTGCAGCCTCAGGCAGCGCATCCATCCTTGCACCAAAATCTGGGAGTGCAAACGTCTTGCCACACAGCAGCTCCCTGGTCCGGGCTGCAGAACGTGAGCAGGCGTGTGCTCCACGGAGCCTCACAGGGATCTCAGGTTGTCCTCACCGTATGTGATCTCACCTCATGTGCTTTCTAATGCTCCGATACCCTCCCCACACCTCTGAGCACTTGCTCAGCTTGTGGTCCTCAGCAGCCTGCCCCTATAGCTAGGTGGGCAGCCACCCCCTTGCCTGCTGACCGATTCCTCCTCCACCGGTGCAGGCCCACAGCTCACCGGCCTCAGGTCGCTCCTCATCCAGCCCTTCTGAAGGCTCTTCCTCCTCCTCCTCCAGGCCCTGGAAGTCGAGCTCTTGCTCCTCAGGAATGGGGTCCTTGGGGCCCTTCTGGGTGGGCAAGGGGCAGAAAGCACATGGTAGGGGGGGCAGGGGCCCCAAATGGGGCATGCATCTCCCCACCCTCTGATCAGCCCACCTTGCCTCTCCTCGAAGATACCTTGAGAGGCAAGAAGGCCCCAGAGGCATCGAAGGTGCCCATCTCTTCATCCTCATCATTGAGGCACCACTCTGGGAGTCCGTCCTTGTCGTCGTCAAAGCCATCAGGCCCATGGCACCTCCGGAGGTGAGAGCTGCCTCCCCCACCCCGCCCCTCCTCTTCACCACACCCTCCTCGCTCCCCTCGCATATCAAAGTCAAACTTTCGACGCCGCTCCCCATGTTCCCGCCAGCCAGCAGAGCGGGGGCCGCCATCTGGAAGGAAAAGGGAAACTGGCACCCAGAGCAAGGCAGTATCGTCCCTCATCTGCCATTCACAGGACACCCCAGGAATACCAGCATCACCAACACTGTTCTCCCACCCAGCCCCACCCCAGCAAGCCTTCTGCTCCCTCCTCTTGGCCACAGGAGTGCACTTTCCCGCTCTCGAAGCCCACAGCACCAATTTGACTGATCTTACCAGGACTAGTGGAGCGCCAGCGATCACCATCTCGCCGGGGTCCTGCCCCAAGTCTCCAGCTGCCCTCTTCCTCCTCCTCCTGCTCCTCTCGAAGTGAGCGCCAGTTCTCACTGTCTGAGCGGGTGTGCTCCTTCCTTGGGCCAGCCCCTCCCTCCTCAAACCCAGATCTCGCTGGCCATGGGAAGAGAGGCGGCACAGTAAGCAGGACGGCTGCCCTGGGACCTGGAAGTCTCTTAACCCTGCTTCAGGCCATCCTGCCTCTACCACTGGCCCCATAAACTTCCCCCTATCTGGGGGCACCCATCTCAGTCGCCCCCCCACCTCTGGCCACCAGGCTTGCCACTCTCATACCTCCATCCCTCCTTGCCGGCTTCTCAAACCGCCTCTCACCTCTGCAGGAGAGAAAGGTGTTGGTCAAAAACAGTCCATGTCCCTCCCAGCCCTGTAGGACTGTTACACACCTTGTCCACTCTGCCCTGGGATGGGGGGAGAACAGACGGAAGGGGGCGTGGAATCAGGCTCAAGAGAAAGGAACACAAAAGACCATACGGAACAGATCACAGGACAAACAGACCCCAAGAGAATCAGAAGCAAAGGACAGGCTGGGCCTGGCAGGTCAGTGGGGACAGAAAACTCTGACAAGGGCTTATCTGGTGGATCTCTGCTAACTCTCAGCCTCCCTTCACAGACTCTGGCCCAGCCCTGGACTCCTCCCTGGCTCTGCCTCCATGCCACCTCCTTCCAGCCCCACCTGTCATCCCAGCTCTGGCTTCGCTGGATCTCCCGGGGATTTCGTCCAAAGGCTCCATCGCCTTCTTCAATGCTTCTTTGGTAAAAGCAACTGTCACCACGGCCACGGCCTGGACAAGGACACAAACCTGGATCTGAAACCTGCCAGAGTATCTCTCCATGACCTAGGGACCACAGGCTCACCCCTCCCCACCCCTGAATCTGCAATCACTCCTCTACCTCGGCTTCTCGTGCTGCCCCTGCCACGGGAGGTGCCAGCCAGGGGGGGAGCAGCCCCTTTTCCCATCAACCTCAGCACAGCCACGCTGTTCACTGACAGGGAGAAGTTCCTCTGAGGAGGGAGCCAGGGGCGGGAGTGAGGACCCCAGCACCTGACCACCCCAGCTCCCCAAATCTGACCCCCACATCCTCGGCCTGGCCTGGCCCCACCTGCTCCTCCTCGGTCAGAGGCTCCAGAGCCAGTGGCTGCAGCGGCTCCTCCTGCAAAACCGCAGCAAACTCCTTGTCCTGAAGTTCTTCAGGGACCTTCGGTGGGGCAGGAAGGCCAAGACACCATGGTTCAGGGATTCTCCCAGCTGAGGCTACGAAGGTGTGGACGCCACCTCCCCCCGGGCGGCCACCATACCTTGTCCTCCTTGATGTAGAGGGCCAGCATCTCCTCTCGCCCGTAGCGGTAGTCAGCCAACTTGTACTTGGGCATGGCAGGGGAGGGGGGTGGTGAGGCCACACTGCCTCCACTGGAAAGGGCCCTCAGCCTGCAGCAAGCACAGAAGAGAGCGCCCATGGTCCCAGCAGCCCTGCTCCTCTTCCCCAGCATGGCCACACCAGCTTCAACACGTGTGACTCACCACTCAGGCCCAAAGTTGAGCGTCTCTGCTGCCATTGTGGAGCTGAGGTGCTTCCCAGAGGTCACCGTCAGGGGATGAACAGAGTGGGGAGGACCTGGTGTGCACCGTCCAAACACCTGTGGGGCCACGGGCACACAGGGCATGAAGCCATAGAGCCTCTGTGCTTGGCTGCTGGTCCCCACCTTGGTGGGCACTGTACTGGGCACCTTGGGCTAGCGCATGGGTCACCAGGGCTGGGAAAGGGCTCACCTAAGCCACTGGCAACTCACACCATGAATTCACAGAAGTTGAGTCGCTGCTGCCGACAGACCTGGGAATGTAAGGAAATAGGGAAGTTAGAGGCCCTCCTGCCTCCACAGGGCACCTCCTGGAGCTCAGCACTTACCTGGCAGTCTTGTAGGGGAAGCAGTTGGGAGGTGGACCCTCTTCAGGCAGAGGGCTGGTGCTGAAGTGAACTAGGGTCCCCAAGCCACTGGCTAGTGGTCTGGCCTCAGTACCTCCCCAGAGGAGCTTTCACTTCTGGCAAAGATCCTTAAGGACAAGCGAGGAGAAGGGGTTAAATTCATGGGTCAGATGGCATCCCTATCTCTGGCCACCCTCTGCCCTGCAGGACTGGAGAGGTGCCCAGCTGCTGAGGGCACAGGCAGGACACTAGCAGGATGCTGAGGGGTGGCCGAGAACACACCGAGCCTGGCCTCACATCATCTGCACTCTAACCAGGAAGCTAAACAGTAAGTGCAGCAGAGAATTCAGTAATAAGGTGATTAAGGTAGGCATGGTCATTCAGTGCCATAAAACAAGAAAAAAGGCCACCAGAACCACAGATGTCTGGTAGAGAAAAAGGTCATGGCCCGAAGAATTAGACATAAACCTGGGAGCAAAACTACTTTCCTCAAGGAAAAAAATCAGACTGGCTGCTCTGACACTGGAATCTAGGCACTGGGTCAGGGGAGGAACCAGCAGAAAAGAGGCAAGAACTCCTCCAGGGGCAAAGACAGTCACACAGGAGCCTGGCCAAGGCATCTCAGGGCTGGTTTCCCCAATAGGAATACACACCCAGGACCCCTGCCCCAGACCAACAACAGCTGCTCCAATGAAAAGCTGGGGGAACAATGCCCTCAGATAAGGCTGGAGAGTTCCCTCACCATAGAGCAGAAAGCGGGTCAGAGTCACAGAGGATGACAAGAGGCGGTGGCGGCGGTAGGAGCGACCAGTTCCTCTAAGGAACAACGGAGGAGACTCTCAGGAGAGGGCTCATCCCTGACAGGACGGAAGTGGAAGACGAAGGGCAGGCAGTGTCCAGGGGTGCACGAGGGCTCCGTCACTGGCTGGGAAGGAGGCTGGGGTGGCACACCTCTGCAGTGCCCATCCACTCCAGGATGCCAGGTCTGTGGGGAGGAGGGGAGGTTTCGACCAAAGGCCTAGGACGGGTGCTCTCGCCCGCAGTCAAAAAGCAAAGCACGATGACTGACACTGGGCCTGCCCAGAATCACAGCACCCAAGAATCTAGAGTGAGACATCTAAGCTGGCTAAGCTCCCAGCCTGGCATCTCTGCTCCTCCAGAGCTTCAGCGACACACATCACAGCTTCTCCTCCGCCTGTGTTAAGAGGAGGCCACAACCCTTGGGCAATCTGGCAACTGGATAGACATGAAGACACGGTAAGCAAAAGAAGCCAGTCACAAACACCACCCTAGAGGACTCCTCTTGTACAAAGGACCCAGGGCAGGAAAATCAGAAGGGGTGTGGAGCTGTGGAATGGGTCTAGGGTTTCAGCAAAGAATGAGGAGAAAGTTCTGGAGATGCTGGTCTGCTGGCGTGGCGATGGCTGCACAACACAGCAGAGAACGTAATACCTCAGAACCGCACACTTATAGTCAATGGTGAATTTTGCATCACTAATAAAAAAGAAAGCTTTAGTGAGACCCAGGTATAGCACAGTGGTAAAGCACATGCTTAGCATACATAAGGCCCTGAGTTCCATTCCCAGCACTGCAAAAAATAAGAAAGAAAAAAAGCTTCAAGAGAAAACAGCCCTTGGGGAGATAACCATTTCATACCTAAGCCATCCCTACTGCAAGAAAAACACCCCATTCCTTCAAACAACCCCCAAGACAGGCAGTTTTGAGCCTCCTCAGTTCGTCCCAAGTGAACAGATGCTAATCCTGGGGGCACAGAAGAGCTGCAAGCTGGGACAAGGGAGAAGAGAAGGGGCAGCAGGCAGGATCACTGTGCCTCCTCCCCTCGCTTGGCTCCCCTGGTTGGGAGGAAGCAGCAGAGGTAAACTGACAGGAGGCAAGGGCCCAAGAACCAAGAGCAGAGGAAGACAGAGCCCGCAAAGCAGGGACCAGGCCACCCCTCCCCAAAATGGGACTCTGCCCCATACTGCCTGGAAGCAGAGGGTTCTTGGCTGGGGGCGACTCTGCTCCCCAGAGTTTTGGCAATGGCTGGAGAGACATTCAGGGCAATCTCAACTGGGCTCAGGGATGCTACTAGAATCTTTTAGCTAGAGACTGAGGATCCAGCAAGATACTCTACAATGCCCGGAGACCCCAAGACAAAAAAATATCTGGTCCACAATGGCAGCAGTGGAGAAATCCTCACCCACAAGTCCAGCAAAGCCTACTTGGTGTTTACGGGGAGAATGTAAGACGGAGAACCAAGTGTCTGCTCATTCATTTTCCCCTCTGAGCTGCAGTGAACGATTCCTTAATTACACTGTCCCATGAGAAAACTCTGAAGTCCTGCCAGAAGAGGAATCCCTGAGAAAAGAATAGATCAAAAAAAAAAGAAAGAAGAAAACCACCAATGACCCCAAGTTCATCCATCACATTCTGCAGGCCAAGCATTTGGATCCCTTTCTAATGAAGAAAGGGCTGGGAGAAGTGGCAGGCTAGGACCAGGGACTCTGTCCCTTCCCACCTCACCTTTTCCTGGCTGGTGGGCTAAGGGTCTCCTCTTTGTCACAGGCCCACACCAGCTTGTCACCCAGCCCTCATCATGACTACCTCAGCTTCTGGCCCCTGCCCCCACCCTTCTCTTTCAGGCCTCAGTGTACCCTTACTGCCCTAGGATCTGAATTACTGCTATTAAAAGGCTGCCCCCTGCTGGAGGCAAGAGGAGAGGGCACATGCTAGCTGCTCCCAACTGGCTTGAGGGACCCTCAAGCCTGTGCTCTGGGGTTCAGACCTCATGGGAGAAGGAAAAGATGCAAAGAATGGGTGTTCCCAGCACAACACGCTAAGTTAAGAACATTATTTCCTTACTCCATCACCCCTAAAATTAGCCCCAATCCAGAGCAATGTTCCTTGGCACCGCGCAGTACCACTGTTAACAGAAGCAAGCAGAATCCCCAGTGTCCCAACACAACAACCGCCGGCCCATGCCTGTTGGAGGTGACTGGGCCCTTTCTCAGGATGGAATTGTCTTTCACATGGGCTGGGATGAGGACTCAAGAGGCTGAAATGGGCTGCAGCCTGAGTTCCTGGGCCAGTCAGTTCTCCCAGCTCTCTGTAATTGTGTACTAGTTAGCAGTTTTCAAAGCATTTTTACACTTTACTTCATCTGATTCTTTCTGCCCACTTGCCCAGCCTGGGGCTCTAGCCAGGGAAAACAAGGCAGGGAGGAGAAGCTGCCAGGTCAGGGCACCCCCACGTCCTCAACACTACCCAAGACTGGAGAGAGGGCTCTGAGGCTTCCCTGGAGAACTGGAAGCCATTTTTCATTTTTCAGACTTAAAATCTTTCACATGTCTCCTCTTGGCAACTTTTCTCCTCTAAAGTGAGGCCATTTTTTCTAACCCAAACTCCAACCACAGACAAAAGCACGGCGGGGGGGGGGGGCAACACAGGATCCCCAATCCATCAAATCACACACAGTACCAATGGGTCCACTGGCTGACAAAGCCAGTCTAGAAATCTAAGCACACAAGCCACTGGATTACAATCAGGATCTGGGACCCACGTTTCTGGTCCGAAGGCAATGGCAGGAACACAAAAGTCCTGAGGCTTCCTCACATCCTTCCCAACTGGAGGACCAAGATTTAGGACTACAGGGGAGCAGGGCTAGAGGGTCGCAGGCCTAGGACTGCAAGGAAAGGGAGATGGGAAGGAGGCAGAGTCCAAACTCCCACTTGTAAGCAGCAAAGGGGAACAGCTAACTGATCCCAGGCATGGGTGGATAGTTGAGTGGAAGAAGCTGGCATGGCAAGGAGGGCGATCTTTGGGAAAGCAGCACTCTGAGAAGCAAGAACAGAAGACTGGGATGGGTGGAGGAAAAATCCGACCAGTTAGATTATTTAGCGTTTCCCAGTGGCCGGCACTGGAGTGAAACAAACCCGTAGCTAGACTGGGAATTGTAGTAACAGCTGGGTCAGGGAGGAGACACGAAGCTCTCTTTCAAGTTTCTTGAAAAAAAGGGGGGGGGGGCGGTGAGTGGCTGTACCCAGGTAGGTGCTGCATTAAAGGCACGGGCTGGGAAGGGCTGGGCCTGGCCTGGCGATGCCAGGGAGACCCATAGCCCCTGCTCAAGGCAGGTGTTTCCCGCGGCTGGGTTAACAGGGAAGGGGACCCTGATGACCAAGCACTAAGGTGGCCGCTTGAGATGCAAGAAACGTAGATGAGGAGCCCGACGGGGTGCTCGGGTGGAGGGGAAGCTTCCATGTTTACCAAACTGGCGGAGTGCTTGGACTGGGAGCCCCGCAAGGCAGGCCCGGCTCGCGGAGAGGGGGACACAGCGGCGCGCTGCGGACACCTCCGGGGAGCGCGGGGCGCGCCCCCCCCCCGTTGGGGCCCCGGGCCGGGGGGGGGCCCGAAGGGAGTAACCGTTAGCGCGCGCAGGAGGACGGCATGCCCTTCAGGGAGGGGCACAGGTGCGCGGGGCGCGGCCGCCGCCGGGGCTTGGGGCCGGGGGACCAGGCGGTGGCGGGACGCGGGCCCGGTTCCCGCGGGCTCGGGGCCGCCGGCGTCGGGGGCGGGCCTGCGGGGCCGGGGTCTGCCGGGAGCTTACCGCGGGCGGGAGGTCGGGCGCGGGGTCCCGGACGGAGGGGACGCGCGGCGGCGGTGGCGGTAGCGGTGGCGGCGGCGGGCCAGGGCCAGGGCCAGGGCCGGGGGACGGCGGCGGCGGCTGCGGCGGCGGCGGGGAGGGGGCGCAGGCGCTCCCGCGGCGGCCGCTCCTCTCTGTTTGTGTTTGTAGCAAGATGGCTGCCCGCCTCGCACCACGTGACGCGGACGCGGGGCCGCGGGGCCGCCCCCTCCGACACCGCGGTCGGCCTCGGCCTCTGCCGCCCGGCCGCTCCGACCCGCAGCCCGGGCTCGTGCGTGCCTGGCGGGGCGCGGCCCGGACCCCCGCCGCCCCCGGACCCCCCGCCACCCCGCCACCCCGGCACGTGACTCGGGAGCCCTGCGCGTCACGTGACGCGCGGTCCGCGGCGGCGGGCGGTGGGGTCCTCAGGGTGCGCGCTGCTTTGCCCGCATGTCCCCTGAGACCTAGGCTGAGGCCACCGGCGTCCCCCAGGAAGCCTGCCTGGGTTGAAGGAACCAAAAGAAAATCCAGAAGTCTACCTTCCTCACTCGCCGTGGAGGCTATTGATTCGCAAAGGGCGCGAGGCAGCCAGACTGGCAAGACCTGGAGTGTCTTGACTCGTGCTTGGGAGCCTCAGTTTCTCCTGTTTAACTTTTAAAAATTAATTTATTTTCGGTAATACTGGGGATTGAACCTAGGGCCTTTGTACTGAGCTACATCCCCAGCCCTTTTGATTTTTGATTTTGAGGTAGCTAAATTGCCAAGTGCCCCAGGTTGGGCTTAAACTTGGCAGTCCTCATGCCTCTGCTTTCCACCGTGCTGGGATTGCAGGCGCGGGTCACCATTCCCAGTATAAAGAGCAGTTTTTTGTGGGGTTTTTTTGGTTCCGGGGATCGAACTCCGGTCCTTGCGCTTGCAAGGCAGGCGGCGGAACCACTGAGCTAAATCCCGGGCCTTAAAGAGCCGTTTTAATACTGCTCTGTGCCCCACTCCCACTCAGGTCTCCCACTCCCTTCAAGGAGTCCTGGAAGAATTAAAATAAGTGAACGTGAAAGGCTTTGAAGGGGGGAACCGCTATGCAAATGTGAGACCTAAACGGAAAACCCTTTTGTTTAAAAGAGTTTCTCAAGAATGATTTCTCTAAAGCACCTTAAACTTTTCAAGATGCAAAAGCCCTGTGTGTCCTTGTACCATTTTCTTCGAAAGGTGCTCCAGAAAGTACACTTTACTTCCCTGCTTCTTAAAACTGCTCCTTGCCACCCAGGCCAGAGACCTGGGGTTCAGGTGCCTCAGATCTGGAAGCCATCAGCGCTACGTGAAGGGGCTCCGTTCCTGCACCCCAGAAGGCTGGACATTTGCAGCTGTAGTGTCTGCTTTTCACACTTCTTGCCTTTCCTGCAACCAGGGTTTCTGCTTCAGTGTTGTCACTTTGCTTGCTCACAGGCTGGAAGGTAGCAGTAGTTAAGAAAAAGAAAGGGTCCTAGCATGAAGGGAGGCTGAGGCAGGAGGATCAAGAGTTCAAGGACAGAAAAATTACAATATCTTACCTTTTAAGAGTTATATCTAAAATTTCTGAATGCTATAATTTTTGTGGCTTCTTTAAAGAGTGGTGTTTTAAATAGTTTAATAGTTCAGTGAAGAATTCTCATTTTAAAAAAAAGTTGAAGGACAGCCTGGGTAACTTAGACCCTGTCTAAAATCTCAAAAATGATAAAAAAAGGGTTGGGGTGTAGCTCAGTGTGAAGGCCCTGGATTCAATCCCCAGTACCATTTTTTTAAAAAGAAAGGAAGGGGGCCAGGGATTTAGCTCAGTGGTTCTGCTGCCTGCCTCACAAGCACAAGAATCCGAGTTTGATCCCTGGTACCAAAAAAAAAAAAAAAAAAAGGAAGGAAAAGAAAAGGAGAAAAAGAGAAACAGGTCTCATCGGTCCTGACTATGGCCCTAGGCAAGGTAACTCTCTTTGGATTGGAAGACACTTAACACAGAACTGGTGCAGGGCAAGACCAGCAGGAATATCAGCTGATGTGGCCTCCTGGGTTCTTCAGAGTCCCTGAAACTAAATATTCAAGGCTGTTCACACTGGTTGAAAGTGTATTGATAGGCTGGGGTGTAGCTTAGTCCTAAAGTGCTTTCTTAGAAAGTATGAGGACCTGAGTTTGAGCCACAGCCACTGCCTTAAGGAAAAAAAAATATCCAAGCTTGAGTCCCAAAATTCTAGAGTTTGCATGTGAAAATTCAACTAGAATAAAGTTTGTAAACTCATAGCAGCTGTTGTTGTTTTTCCCTAGCTCAAAAAGCTTTTGTTGCTGGGTGTGGTGGCTTGAGCCTGTGATCCCAGCACTCAGAAGGCTGAGGCAGGAGGATCACTTCAAATTCGAAGCCAGACTGGGCTATATAAGAAGTTCAAAGTCAGCCTGAAATACATAGCAACACCTTGACCACCCCCCACCCTAAGTGTGAAGTACTCAGTTTGATCCCTGGTACCAAAAAAAAATTAAAAATAAAACAAAAAGCTTTCGTTTCATTTTGTTTCAACTTTCTAGATTGGAGCTGTGTTCTGGGTGGCTGAAGTTACCAGCAGCTTAACCACTGAACAAGTGAAGTCTTAGCATGTTTTAGCAGTTCCTAAGCAAATGTGAGACTGTAAATGTCGGTAGACAAAAATGGTCCTGGAGAAAAAAGGGGGCCACCAGTACTCAGGGGAACAGGAAGTAATGGCTCCTGTTTTGCTGGAGGGAAGGAAGGAGCTGGGTGGGTCTGGGAAAGTGGGTGTAGACTGGAGAGTACTGACTGTCCAGGCTGCTGGGAGAAAGCACCTGGAAAGAAATGAAGGTGAAATTTTGGTTGAGTCTCGATTGCCACTGGGAAAGTTTTGGTTTGGTTTTGTGGTGCTGGGGATCAAACCCAGGGCCTCCCACATGCTAGCTAAGCGTTCTACTCCGGAGCTATAGGCCCACCTCAAGTCAGTTTTTGAGAACGGCTTGCTCTGGAGCCCTGTAGCAGCAGCTGGGCCAGGAGAGCCCTCTGGCTGCAGAGTGGAATATTGGAATGGAAGGTCATTCCTAGGACTCCAGGGAACCAGTTTGTGACACTGACGTTGTGATAAATAATGTCCCCTACCTGTAAAATGAGAAAGGTGGCACTGAGAAAACTGAAGTGTATGAGCTCTCCCTTTGAGAAAGGAAATTCTGAAATCAAAACTTCGAGTCTACCTGGCCATGGCGGCAGGTGCCTGTAACCCCAGCACTAAGGAGGCTAAAACAGGAGGATGGCCAGGAGTTGGAGGCCAGCCTGAGCTACATTTTATGAGTTCAAGGTCAGCCTGAACTATACAGTGAGACTCTGTCTCCAAAAAGAACAAAACAAAACAAGACCTATGAGTCTCCCATACAAAATTTTCAAATTACCAACAAATCACTTGAACCTATTATGGTTTTGTTTATTCAGGCACAATGCTGTCCAATGTCTTGGTCTATGTTTTAAAAATCTGAAAGCTTTTGAATGGAACAGAGATTTGGTTTAGATGGTTGAGCAAGATAAAAGAGATACTTCAAGCAAAACCAAACAGCTAAGCTCAAGTTCTACCTTTCTTTCTTTCTTTTTACCTTTGCAGTGCTGGAGATGGAACCCAGGGGTTTACAGGTGCTAGTCAAGCACTCTACCACTAAGGATCCTTTGCCTTTTTTTTTTGGTACCGGGAATCAAACTCGGGTCCTTACGCTTGCACAGCAGGCATCGAAACCACTGAGCTAAATCCCCAGCCCTCCTTTGCCTTTTTAAAATAA